AACATATATACACTGTACCTGTGTGCATTTCACAACAAACGTAAAAAAACGACAATCCTACAAAACAAACATCCTTCTCACAAGTCAAATATTTGACAGACCTGTGTGTTGTTTTTTTTTTAGATGAACACCTTAACATTTCAAAACATTTATGGTTACACAAAATGTACTTTGTGCTCATTATGTGACAGTTTTGTCAAGTCTATTGAATTATAACTTACTTGTATATTCAGTATCATAAAAAGAGAAGGAAACTCATTACCTATTAATATAACCTCTGAAGTATTTTTAGAAAAAAAGTCCATATACAGATATGTTTTAAATAGTCATCGATGAAAAATCCTGAAGACCAATATATTGCTTGGGATGGTCTTTATTCCTGATAATTATTTAAACATCAGTCTGCTTTATTAATTTATAAGGACACATTAAAAGTGTAATTGTATATGCCAGTCTTGAAAAGTTTGTGGCCTACATATACAAGACTGGTATACATCATGTACTTTGGACTGTAAGTTGTGTTAATGGAAAATAGAGTATGATTGCCATGTGCTAAAGACCAAATACAAATGACGCAGTTGTTAGCAACTCTAGGTCGCCTCACAGCTTTCACCATGAAACTAATGATTAAAAACAAATTGCCATGGACTGTCCTAGGTGAAATGATAATTTCTTCAGTAAGACTCCAATGAGGGCTTTTAAAAATACAATTAGGTAGTAAGGAGATAGTTTGCCACAGGCTTCTCTGAGGCAAGGACTACTGGTGAGCCAAGCTTGATGAGTATTTCCTGTGCTCTTACAAGAGAAAATTCTCAGCAGATATAATGTAGTAGCACTTTCTTTGATATTTTTCAGGATCTCCAGAAGCACGGACTCCAAAAGACACAGCTGCAACAAGTGACAAGAGTTTACCAGTAAACTCAGATTCCCATTCTTCTGAACAACTTGATTTGTTAAATGATGATATGAAATTGTTTCCCTCAACTCCAGATGTGTCCAAAAATAAATCTGAAGAGACTGATGCACCTGGGATTATGACCGTCAGCATGTTTTGGAATGACTTGCCTGCAATTATGTTGGAAAACTTACCATATTTACGTTTAGTTGACATTCATAAACAAATCCTTCCTGCCAAAGACACGGGTATTTTGAAAAAACGATGCCAACTTTTGGGAATTGTTGTTAAAAATTGTTCAGAAATGCAAAGATATTTCCTTGTTCAGTATGGAAGGGCATTTAATTCCAAAAGCAACCTAATAATAAGTAAAGTGGATGCAGAGTTTTTAATTGGATATTATGTGAATCCAGTGACTAAATTACCAAGGTCATCAGAAGACCATCCGCAGCCAAAAGTTAAGCCAACTAAAGTCTCCAGACCAAGATCAAGGCCACCAAGTAGAACTGACAGGTAAATAGACAATATTGATGTTAAAATTACTGAATTATATTAGGACATGCTTTTTAATCTTCCAGCATCATCATTAAAGGTGGGAGAGGCAGAAATGGTTAATGGACAAATACTTTAGTACAAAACATAATTTAAAGCAGTGTAAGGGAGATAAATCAAATACATCATTGACATTATCTCCCTTACACTGCTTTTAAATTATGTATAAAGTAATGGTTAATGAACAATTAAGATAATTTAAAACAGTGTAAGGGAGGTAATCCAAATACAACGTTTTGGTTACTTCCCTTACACTGCTTTTAAATTATGTTTAAAGAAATGCATATTTATAAAGGAAGACCAGTAAAAATATCTGCAAATGTTGCATCTTTTTTTTTAACAAAAAAATCCATATGAAAGATTTGACACTATATTTTAAATTCTATTATAAAATAGATTAAGTTAGCACTATGGTAAATTTAAATGGATAATTATGGTTTGGGGAAAAAAAAGGGGGGGGGGTAAAAAGAAATTGTGGGGGGTCAATTTTTTCTCATTTCAGATTTCAGAAATTAAAAAGAATTATTCTTCAAATATTATTTTTTTTTCAAATTTCAAATATTGAAAAATTTCAAGAAGTAATCTTTAATTGCACAGTATGGCGCATTAGATTTGTAAAATCTTTGACCACATTTATTTATTTGTTATGCCGAATCTAACCGTGTATTTAGATTTTTAATTTTGGATCCAGTTTTCAAATTGGTCTACATTAAGGTCCAAAGGGTCCAAAATTAAACTTTGTTTGATTTCAACAAAAATTGAATTCTTGGGGTTCTTTGATATGCTGAATCTAAACATGTGTTTAGATTTTTGAATATGGGCCCAGTTTTCAAGTTGGTCCAAGCTGGGGTCCAAAATTAAACTTTGTTTGATTTCAACAAAAATTGAATATATGGGGTTCTTTGATATGCTGAATCTAAACAAGTATTTAGATTTTAGATTTTTGGCCCAGTTTTCAAGTTGGTCCAAACTGGGGTCCAAAATGAAACTTTGTTTGATTTCAACAAAAATTGAATATATGGGATTCTTTGATATGCTGAATCTTACCATGTATTTAGATTTTTTATTTGTGGGCCCGCTATCAAATTGGTTCATATTGAGGTCAAAAGGGTCCAAAATTAAACTTTGTTTGATTTCATCAAAAAATTGAATTATTGGGGTTCTTTGATATGCCAAATCTAACCGCGTATTTAGATTTGTAATTTTGGGTCCCATTTTTTAAATTGGTCTACATTAAGGTCCAAAGGGTTCAAAATTAAACTTAGTTTGATTTTAACAAAAATTGAATTCTTGGGGTTCTTTGATATGCTGAATCTAAACATGTGTTTAGATTTTTGATTATGGGCCCAGTTTTCAAGTTGGTCCAAGTTGGGGTCCAAAATAAAACTTTGTTTGATTTCAACAAAAATTGAATATATGGGGTTCTTTGATATGCTGAATCTAAACATGTATTTAGATTTTAGATTTTTGGCCCAGTTTCAAGTTGGTCCAAACTGGGGTCCAAAATTAAACTTTGTTTGATTTCAACAAAAATTGAATATATGGGGTTCTTTGATATGCTGAATCTTACCATGTATTTAGATTTTTTATTTGTGGCCCAGTTTTCAAGTTGGTCCAAATTGGGGTCCAAAATTAAACTTTGTTTGATTTCAACAAAAATTGAATATATGGGGTTCTTTGATATGCTGAATCTTACCATGTATTTAGATTTTTTATTTGTGGGCCCGCTATCAAATTGGTTCATATTGAGGTCAAAAGGGTCCAAAATTAAACTTTGTTTGATTTCATCAAAAATTGAATTATTGGGGTTCTTTGATATGCCAAATCTAACCGTGTTTTCAGATTTTTAATTTTGGGTCCCGTTTTTTAAATTGGTCTACATTAAGGTCCAAAGGGTATAAAATTAAACTTAGTTTGATTTTAACAAAAATTGAATTCTTGGGGTACTTTGATATGCTGAATCTAACCATGTATTTTGATTTTGGACATTGGACCATAATAGGTAAATTAAAAAAATTGAAGTTTTTAGACCACATTCTTTCTGTGTCAGAAACCTATGCTGTGTCAAATATTTAATCACAATCCAAATTCAGAGCTGTATCAAGCTTGAATGTTGTGTCCATACTTGCCCCAACTGTTCAGGGTTCGACCTCTGCGGTCGTATCAAGCTGCGCCCAGCGAAGCATTTTATTCTTTCAGTGGTTATTATGAACCTTTATTAAAACATGGATGATATATAAAAATTGTATAAACAAACACTGTTTTGAGTTTAAGTCTGGTGAATTGGGAAATTTAGTGATTTACACATTGAATTCAGAAAGCAGAAAAATCTTCTTGTTTTTAATTTACATTTAGCCTAGTAAAGACCTTTTTTGGACCAAACCAGGAAAAATATTAAGTAGAAAATACTAAAGAAAAAAGATAAGGCTATGGCTACCATGCAGATAAAAAGAAAAACGATGCCAAACCTTCCCCCATAAAATCAGTTCGAAAAGGTCTTAACTCATCAGATGATTACATTATACATATAGCAAAAACTAACAAAAACACAAAAGACACAAAGTACAGATCTGATTATACTCACAGTTACTGAAAGCTAGTTCAAAGCTAATAACAACTAATAAAAAAATTATGTATCTATGACTTCAATATCAATTAGTACACATCCAACATCCAATGGAATAAGTTCAAAGACGTCATTAATATGTTAACCCTTTCCAGGCGAACGATGCCTTGAGGCATCGCCACTCATTTCGCAGAATTTGAAAGGATCATTTTCAGTTGTGTTTATTTAGACTTATAAGTTGTAAATTTGACTGTGGAATAGTTATTTCCATACAACTTTGATTAAGGAACACTCGAAATTGTTAACTACCGTTTTTTATGTGAAATTAGCAGTTGAAAGGCAATACTAGTAATAAAAAAACGGTCACAAAAAAATGATAATTTCGTGTATCCAACGTCATTTTTCTCGCACAAAAGGTTTTAAAACACCAAAAAATGGTAATGTCATTTATAACTAACCATTTAGCTACAATCCTTACACACTAAAATGTATCACCATCGAGTTTGACACCGATTTGTACAGAAACAACGAAGATACGAACGTATTTCCAAAAACGTCACTTCTTCTCCCTGCACATTGGCAAATTAATTCAGGCAAGACAACCTGTGCACGAAATTTGAACAGGCCACATAAAGTCGCGGAAAAAAAACAAATCAGTAAGGAAAGTGTTAATAGTCAGCAAAAAACGATGCCTTGTGCAATGACAAAATATAGGTATCAACAGATTATAGGACAGTGAATATACATATGTGTATTACAATAATATTTAGTTGGTTTTTAATCTATTGAAAATCAATATTTGTACTAATAAAAACAATATTCAAAGATCTAGTTAAAGTTTTCAGTTGGTTACTCTAATGAATAAGTTCATGGACATGGTATAAAAAAAGTTTGTATTAAAGATTTTAAGTGTAAACTTTAATATACATGTATTAACGATATGTTTCTTTTAAATTTTATCTTGAATTTATTTTAAATTTTTTTCAGTGAGAAGACAAGGACACTTGTTCCTCAGAAAAAACCTCCAGTTATAGCAGAGCCACCTCCTCCAGTGCCACTTGGGCGGACACGTCATAAGAAGATCAATTTTCTTGAATTACTGAAGGGTGATTCTAACAGCAATTCCACAGAAAATTCTGTTACGGAACATGTAGAAGAAAAGAAATCAGAAGGAAGCATTTCTGTCGTAGTGGTACAACCACCAGTCGGTTGGAAAAAATCAGACTCGTCAGTTAAAAAAGTTGATGTAGGAAAGAAAACTGTTAAACGCTTGCATTCAGGAAGTGAAATATACAAAAAGAAATCAGAAGAATGTCAGACAATGGATTCTATGGGTGATGATGATATTGAGAATAGAAATCTGACATGGCTCTGTAAAAAAAGGCAAAAGATTCCATTAAAAGTGAATAAAAAGGTCAAGAAACCAGGTTCACTAAAAGTAAAGTGGACAATTTTTAACAAAGCAAGTCGGAAAAACTTGATTAAGAAAAAGAAACAGAGGGAGGTATTATCTGTTGTGCATAAAGATATTTTACCTAATAACAGTCATTTAAACAATATACAGCCAGGCAATGTGTTCATGGATTTATATAACAATGAAAATTCTTTATGTGTTCGTTGTTGCACATGTAACAAGATATTTTCAATAGATGCTTTCCTCTCACATCAGCATGATAATGGGGGTGATGGAAAACTGATTTCCGTGGTTAATCCACAAAGTTTAAGTCTCAGGGATGCATCAGAATCACAAAAGAAAATTTGGCGCAATTTTCAGCTTAAAAGGAAACGATTCAATAACAATAAAATAACATCAGTTCAAAATGGGTTACCTAAAATACAAATTGTTGAAAGACAAAATGATTTAGAGAAAAGAACTCTGATTGTTAAACCTCCATCAAACAAATCATTGCGTATCAGTTCTAGGAAGCGTAAACAAAAACAATTGTATCCCATCGAAAACTATTCTTATAGTTCTGTTGGAAAGCATGAAGGACACGATACATCACCTTCACCCAACAAAATCATCAAAGTTTCTGATGCTTTAGCTGATAATGTCGTCACAGAGTCAAATGGACCAATATTAACAAGTTTCACTGCCTTAGAACATGATTTGTGATTGTGTACATGTAAAGAATGTATAGATACTTAGATGTATGTTATAAGTGGTTTTCTTGTTCTGTTATGTAAGGATTTTTTTTCTTCGTTAGATATCCAAACGTCATAGATGGTCTCATAGCATACCCTACCCCAAATGCTAGGTTTTGAACATGTTTATTATTCAAAATATTGCAATCAAATTATTTGATACTGTTAGATACCATAGTTTTCCAAGTCATAACAATATTTTTATACTTAATTCCTGGTCTTTTTAAACATTTTTTATGGTCATTTGATCTATTCTGGAAAAGATACCTTAAAAGGTCTACCATCTTCAAACAGTGGGGACTTTTTTGTGCATTTTTATAAATGGATCTGATGTAATATTGTAATATTAGAAATATAAAACTTTTTTTTAATTTCTGACACGAAAAACCAAGAAAAAATACATATCCATGTAAAATTTCAGTATTTAATATTTTCCAAAGGGATGAGCACAGTAAAATTCAGGTGAATGCGATAATCTGAAACATATTTTTTCTTGGTGTTAAAACTGATAGGAAAAAAAATGCAAAAAGATAAAATGAATATTCTAGAAAAGATAACAGATTTTAAAACGTGTTTAAAATGCTTGTATAAACATGATAAACATGTATTGAACAAAATCAATGATTCATGATTGAAGTTTTAAACATATAGCATGTGATCACTGATGGCAAATCAATGATATTTATTGTAAGAGTTTAATAGTCTAAATATTGATATTTCTTGGGATCAAGTACATTCTAATATTGTTATATTATGAATTTATATTGTTTAACAAATATTACTACATTGGTACTATGAAATGTATGACTACCCTACATTATTAGTACATATGAGTTAAAGTCATTATCATTGTTTGCAGATCAGATGTACGTAAGATCACAGTCGTTTACTATCAGCTTAAAATAATCACTGAATATTGTTTACTAAAAGATGGGTTGTTACATGAATACATACATGTACATGCATTGATTTAAGTTCACAATTACATTGTAGTTATTTCCACACAATGGTTACAAGCTGTGTCAATAGTATTGTGAAAAATGCAATAGTCCTGGAATTTGACGTAAAAATTACCATGTAAAATATTATCAGCATAAATTAATTTACATGATAAAAAAAATCCTTAATCTTTTACCCTCACACATGTAAAATGAACTGAGTTGAAAAAAATTCTTAAACATATTGCTTGTTGAGTTTTACGTAGTCATGAGTGTAATAATAAGTAAGGATAAAATAGTGCTTGTGCTCATCTTAAATGTTTGCTTGTTGAATAAATTAAAAACAGTCTTGTTATTCATACTGCATAATTGTGTGCACTGCTATTTAGACTTTTGTCAGTCTACATGCAAATTTATTAATAAATCTATGCTTTTCTATTTTTTAACTTTTCTGACAATTTCAGTTAGCTTTTGATTTCATATGTGTCTATTCTTTATTAGATTTTTAATTTTGGACATATTGTTATAATATATAAGAAGTAGCTTAAATTTTTTAAAGCATAATTTACAATAGATGGTATTTGATTGACACAATTTGAGCAAGAGTTACTTCCCTTTTGCCACCATGTTGTAAGTGTGCAAATAAACGTTTATCCAAGGGAAATAACTCAAACTCAAATTGCGTCTTTCAAAACTGATCTCTAGGATGTTTATTGGTAGACCTATCAAACTGTACAGATAACACAGTGTCTTGTAAATCTCAAAGTTATTATTGATACAAATGCCCAGGTCAAAAATGACAAAATTCATTCCCTATCCAAGCTTAACTTTAGATGTGTAGTGCAGAATGACAGACCAAATGTGATGTTGCTATATAAAATTGTGTTATATTACAATGATTACACTATTAGTAAATAATGTTGACTTATTGTAACCTGTCAGCCTTTGAGTAGCTGTATATTTCATAACAACAAATTAACGAAAGTAAAATTCTAACTGGAAGTTAATTTAGGTTATATGCTGCAGAATTATAGTTATTATTAATATTAATAATTAAATACATTTGTAGGAAACATACTTATATAATAAATAATGCTGACATATTGGTATGTGTGTTAATTAATTTATGGTACCACAACAAACAGTTTAGTAATATTTTTGAAAGTTTTCACTTAAATTGGTTTTAGTTTTATCACGTTATTAAGCATTTATGAGGCATTTTGAATTATACTGACAGATTTTTAGGTTGAAATTATTGTAACTATATTCATTAAAGTTCTTTATAATTTAAACAAAATTTCACAATTTTATAAACATTACGATGATAGTAAAATATGTTATTAATTATATCATGTTATTACATTTGGTTTAGTTTGGTAAGCATTTAAGTGTTGTTTATTTTCTTCAATTGTGCATCAGGAGTTATTAAAGTATGATATATATATATCAGAACATAAAGATTGATTAAAAGGGATATTACCTGTAAATAGTGTTATAATTGTGTACCATATTGTAATTAGAACCTGTCAAATACTTATGTTGTATTGGATTAGTGCTGAATCATGTTCTTATTGTTTCTTTTTTCTGTGAAAAAGTGGTAAACATTTGAAATGGAATAAAGTTTTTTTCAACCAATATTTGATTTTTTATATTACTAAATTTAAGCTGCTGTTGCAGAAAAGTAAAAGGTTTTTGTCTCACCTTTGACAAAAGTCGCAGAATGCAATACATAGGAATTACAATCTAGCGAAGGTGGTGACAACGCAAACAATTTGTGTAAAGCTTTTTATCTCAAAAATTAGAAGACTTGGATGCTTCATACCCTTTATTCAGATACCTTATCTTATAAAGTTTCTATCTCAATTGAAAATTAGGAGATGTGATATAATTGTCATTGAGACTACTATCCACCAAAGTTCAAATGAAGTGGATGTAAGCAATTATAGGCAGCCTTCAACAATGAGAAAAACACATACTGTATAGTCGGCTATAAAAGGTCTCAGACATAAAAAAATGAAACAATTCAATTGAGAAAAACTAACAGCCTAATTTATAACAAAAATATTTACGAAAAACAAATATGACAGAAATAAACCAACGACAGCCACTGAACCACAGACTCCCGACTTGGGACAGGCACATATGGAAGCTGTGGTCACATGTGGTAACATAGTACATATGTTCAGTAGGACATGAACTTTTTTAAATCAATTGGTTTTGACCCAGATTAAGCATGGAAACGTGGCAGTGAGGGTGGGGCATCATGGTGTCCTATGTACACATATTCTTGGTTTCTCTGGTTTCCAATGTGTGGTACGTAAGCAAATCTAGGTTGCCTTGCCTAAAGGGCCTTGTGAGCTTTTGCCATCACTTTGTGTCATTCATTTGTCCATTCATAGTCCTTTATCCCTAAACTTTTCTTAAAAATTTAGAACAGTTTCCATTCAACTCAAATATTCTTATTGCATTGTATCAGTTTAATGCAAAGATGTCAGCTGAGCGATACAGGTTCATTGAAGCCTCTAGTTGGCAGTTCTTTGTTATTCTTTCAAAACTTCAAGAGCTAAGGTAAAAGTGTAATTTGAAAAAATAAAAAATAACAGCATGTCAAGTTCTATCTTATATTGGGTATTGTTTTTATACGACCGCAAAAAAATTTTGTGGTCGTATATTGGTATGACGTTGGCGTCGTCGTCGTCCGGCGTCGTCGTCCGAATACATATTGGTTTTCGCACTCTAACTTTAGTTTAAGTGAATGGATCTTTTTGAAATTTGACCATAAGGTTAAATACCACAAAAGGAAGGTTGGGATTGATTTTGGGGGTCGTCGTCTCCGGCGTCGTCGTCCGAATACATATTGGTTTTCGCACTCTAACTTTAGTTTAAGTGAATGGATCTTTTTGAAATTTGACCATAAGGTTAAATACCACAAAAGGAAGGTTGGGATTGATTTTGGGGGTTATGGTACCAACAGTTAAGGAATTAGGGGCCAAAAAGGGGCCAAAAATGAGCATTTTCTAGTTTCCAGACAATAACTGTGGAACGGTGTATGGATCTCTCTGAAATTATACTACAAGTTTCCATACCACAAAGGGATGGTTAGGATTTGCTTTGGGGGGTTATGGCTCAAACTGTTTAGGAATTAGGGGTAAAAAAGGGGGAAAAACAAGGTTGTCCTGGTTAATGGACAAATACTTTAGTACAAAACATAATTTAAAGCAGTGTAAGGGAGATAAATCAAATACATCATTGAAATTATCTCCCTTACACTGCTTTTAAATTATGTATAAAGTAATGGTTAATGAACAATAAAGATAATCTAAAACAGTGTAAGGGAGGTAATCCAAATACAACGTTTTGGTTACTTCCCTTACACTGCTTTTAAATTATGTTTAAAGAAATGCATATTTATGAAGGAAGACCAGTAAAAATATCTGCAAATGTTTTCATCTTTTTTTTTTACAAAAAAATCCATATGAAAGATTTGACACTATATTTTTATTAATTCTATTATAAAATAGATTAAGTTAGCACTATGGTAAATTTAAATGGGTAATTATGGTTGCCAACTCCATTGGAAATTTGAATTGAGATTATGACCATATCTTGAGGGAAAGAATTTTTTGGGGAAAAAAGGGGGGGGGGATAAAAAGAAATTGTGGGGGGCCAATTTTTTCTCATTTCAGATTTCAGAAATTAAAAAGAATTATTCTTCAAATATTATTTTTTTTTCAAATTTCAAATATTGAAAAATTTCAAGAAGTAATCTTTAATTGCACAGTATGGCGCATTAGAATTGTAAAATCTTTGATCACATTTATTTATTTGTTATGCCGAATCTAACAGTGTATTTAGATTTTTAATTTTGGGTCCAGTTTTCAAATTGGTCTACATTAATGTCCAAAGGGTCCAAAATTAAATTTTGTTTGATTTTAGCAAAAATTGAATATATGAGGTTCTTTGATATGCTGAATCTAAACATGTATTTAGATTTTTGATTTTTGGCCCAGTTTTCAAGTTGGTCCAAATTGGGGTCCAAAATTAAACTTTGTTTGATTTCAACAAAAATTGAATATATGGGGTTCTTTGATATGCTGAATCTAACCATGTATTTAGATTTTTTATTTGTGGACCCCGTTATCTAATTGGTTCATATTGAGGTCAAAAGGGTCCAAAATTAAATTTTGTTTGATTTCATCTAAAATTGAATTATTGGGGTTCTTTGATATTCCAAATCTAACCGTGTATTTAGGTTTTTAATTTTGGGTCCTGTTTTTTAAATTGGTCTACATTGAGGTCCAAAGGGTCCAAAATTAAACTTAGTTTGATTTTGACAAAAATTGAATTCTTGGGGTTCTTTGATTTGCTGAATCTAAACATGTGTTTAGATTTTTGATTATGGGCCCAGTTTTCAAGTTGGTCCAAGATAGGGTCCAGTATTTAAACTTTGTTTGATTTCAACAAAAATTGAATATATGGGGTTCTTTGATATGCTGAATCTAAACATGTATTTAGATTTTTGATTATGGGCCCAGTTTTCAAGTTGGTCCAAATTGGGGTCCAAAATTAAACTTTGTTTGATTTCAACAAAAATTGAATATATGAGGTTCTTTGATATGCTGAATCTAAACATCTATTTAGATTTTTTATTTGTGGGCCCCGCTATCAAATTGGTTCATATTGAGGTCAAAAGGGTCCAAAATTAAACTTTGTTTGATTTCATCAAAAATTGAATTATTGGGGTTCTTTGATATGCCAAATCTAACCGTGTTTTTAGATTTTTAATTTGGGTTCCGTTTTTTAAATTGGTCTTCATTGAGGTCCAAAGGGTTCAAAATTAAACTTAGTTTAATTTTAACAAAAATTGAATTCTTGGGGTTCTTTGATATGCTGAATCTAAACATGTGTTTAGATTTTTTATTATGGGCCCAGTTTTCAAGTTGGTCCAAGTTGGGGTCCAAAATAAAACTTTTTTTGATTTCAACAAAAATTGAATATATTGGGTTCTTTGATATGCTGAATCTAACCATGAATTTAGATTTTTTGTTTGTGGGCCCCGCTATCAAGTTGGTTCATATTGAGGTCAAAAGGGTCCAAAATTAAACTTTGTTTGATTTCATCAAAAATTGAATTATTGGGGTTCTTTGATATTCCAAATCTAACCGTGTATTTAGATTTTTAATTTTAAGTCCTGTTTTTTAAATTGGTCTACATTAAGGTCCAAAGGGTCCAAATTAAACTTAGTTAGATTTTAGCAAAAATTGAATACTTGGGGTTCTTTGATATGCTGAATCTAAACATGTGTTTAGATTTTTGATTATGGGCCCAGTTTTCAAGTTTGTCCAAGTTGGGGTCCAAGATTAAACTTTGTTTGATTTTAACAAAAATTGAATATATGGGGTTCTTTGATATGCTGAATCTAACCATGTATTTTGATTTTGGACATTGGACCATAATAGGTAAATTAAAAAAATTCAAGTTCTTAGACCACATTCTTTCTGTGTCAGAAACCTATGCTGTGTCAAATATTTAATAACAATCCAAATTCAGAGCTGTATCAAGCTTGAATGTTGTGTCCATACTTGCCCCAACTGTTCAGGGTTCGACCTCTGCGGTCGTATCAAGCTGTGCCCCAGCGAAGCATTTTATTATTGACAGATATTGGTATCTCTTTCTCAATAACGCGTGAACTTACGGAGGGTTTGCCCTCTACCAGGAGGTTCTCTGCCTTGGATCACCTTAGGGGACCCCAAACTCCTCGATAAGGTTCGGATGTACACTTAAAAATGGCATACCTACTCCACTGAGAAGGGATATAGTTACGATACTGTTGTCAGGTCATTAAAAGTGGCATTTTTGGGAATTAATATTGATTCACTCATATGGTCTTTGCATCGGCAATAAACACATTTATTCTTAAATCCAGTTGTTGGCATGATACGGGTTATGTTCTTCTCGTATATTTCATGATGGTATGATACTGTAAACGCCTATCATAAACGGGAGGGATTGTGCTTGATTTTCATATGACGAATACATAATCTTTCAATCAGTTTAATTGAGGCCTGGAGCTGGCATGTCAGTAACTGCGCTAGTAGTCCTTTGTTAATTTCATTTTGCTTAGTTTCTTCTGTTACCTATTCTTATAACATCGGACTAGGACTTTTTTAAACTGAGTTTTACTGTGCGTATTGCTGTGTGTTTGTTTATTCTACATTGGATAGAGGTATAGGAGGGTTGAGATGTCACAAAACATGTTTAACCCCGCAGCATTTGTGTGCCTGTCCCAAGTCAAGAACCTCTGGTCTTTAATTTTTGTTAGTCTTGTATGTTTTTTTTAATTTTGGTTCATTTATATGCAGTGTTTCAGAGTTTAGTGTGACGTCCATTTTCTCTGAACAAGCATACATTTTTGATTAGGGGCTGAGTTTTACTGTGCGTATTGCTGTGTGTTTGTTTATTCTACGTTTGATACGGTGCTTTTGATCCGCAATTTGCTTTTTGTCCGCTTTTGCTTTTTGTCTACGTTGGCTAGAGGTGTAGCGAGAGGGTTGATATCTCACAAAACATGTTTAACCCCGCCGCATTTTTGCGCCTGTCCCAAGTCAGGAGCCTCTGGCCTTTGTTAGTCTTGT